TCTCAGATACAATTCACTTATGCCAACGGTTTGTCCAATCCTCAAAGCACTTCCCACAATCACTTTTCGGTATAGACTTGAGCTCTTCCAGCGATGCAATCTTTATCTCTTCAATCGTTGCAAATCTCCGTCCTTTCATAAGTGTCTTTAGTTTTGGGAACAAGGAAAAGTCACATGGGGCCAAATCCGTTGAATATGGTGGCTGAGGCGTTATTGTGGTGTTTTTTTTTGGCCAAAAACAGCGATGCTCATGCGACGATTCTTTTGGTCAAAATTCAGCAATCAGGTTTTGGCTCTTCATTGGGACGATTGGGCTTTGGTTTCGATAACCATATACTTATGATTGTAGCCTCCGCTACACCAGGAGAACGCAGTGCTTTGCGCGCCAGCGAGTCTGGTTTGGGAGATGGCTACTGACTGTCGCCTCCGCAACACTAGGTTGCCTCCGCAAGACACGCCGTGCATGCACACCAGCGCGAGTTCACGAGTCGGCTTATCCGTGCCTTGCAGGACCACGCCTGTTGGTTGCGATTCAGGAATCTGTGCGGCGGGCGCCACACTTATTCTTTCCTCACTTACTTGCTACCTGCTGTGACCGGGAATGGCCCAACTCGACTCTGATACCCTATAGCTGTCAAGGAACCGACCGACAAAGATCCTTTCTCGTTCTGTCCTTAGCGTCTTTTGGAGCAAACCGTGCTTGGCCTCCTGAGTTGGCCTGTCCTTTCCGTTGCAGGACCACGCCTGTTGGTTGTGAGTCAGGAGTCAGTGTGGCGTGCGCCAGATTTATCCTTTCCTCACTTCCTTGCAAGGCTACCTGCCGGGGCCAGGAACCTGTCCAGCTCGTCTCCTGTCGCCTAGGTCTTTCCAAGGAACTGTCCCAGTACAGATCCTTTCTTGTCTTGTTCCGCTGGCAGGCGGCCGCCGTGCGGCCGTTGCCCCTTTCCTTTCGGCCGTTGACCCCTGCTGTTGCTATGCGATGCGCCGATGGCCTCCTTCGCCTTTCCCGTTGCTCCTTGCTCCATTGCTGCTATTAGTCTTGTCGCACATTCTAAACACGGCTGCGCGGTGTGCTCATGTCCTCACTGTTGCCTCGGGAACCGTTACGTTCCACGTTGACTCCGTCTTCCCACTCGATGATGGAGCTCTGCCCCTCACCGCCCTCACTGCCTTTCCATTCGTCCACTGGTGCTCCGGGAACCGTTCCACGTTGATTCCGACTTCCCACCGGGTGATGAAACCCTGTCTTTCCATTCGTCTACTGCTGCTCCGGGAACCGTTACGTTCCACGTTGATTCCGTCTTCCCACTCTATGATGGAACCCTGCCCCTCCCCGCTCGTATTGGTCCTTGGCCTATTTCCTGCGGCCGCCTAGTGATTGGCCGGTGCTGCTTACGCCCTGTCGCCGCTTTCGCGCCTCCTCGGCCCTCCTTGGCTCCTCGGTTATCTGTCTTAGCGTGTGGGGAGAATAACTCTCCTCACAAATAGTTTTTACCACTTGTAAACAATTTTTTTACTCAGAAAAGTTTCACCGTATGCCACTGTCAATATTTCAAGTGTTTCGGAGCACTTCATTTTTGTTACACAAAATTTAATGCAAATCCTTTGATCCATATTTTTCGATAGCAAAAAATCGCCGAGCACGCAAAACAACTTGTAACCTTTACGCCTCTCACAACCAAACAAAAAAAGGGATTTAATTGAAACTTGGTACATGGTGGTTACTGGCCATGCCACACGTGGACATGTTAAGGAGAGACCCAAACAGATGTTAGGGAAGAGTGTACCAACATAACAAAAAAAAAGTCGATAATTGAATATATGTTGCCCGCGAAATTTGAAATTTGATATTATTGTATATTATAATTTGTTTATAATTATAAACCAGTGGTCGGCACGGCCCTATCCCGCGGGCATAGGAAATCCCTGCCCGAGCTCTGCCACACACACACTGTATAAATGTGTGAAACGTCATGCTCCTAGCCTACTTTCGTTCGTTAGTATTCGTTACTAATACTAATGCGTTAAAATCATGTCAATGTATTGGGGTGCCGACCACTGTTATAAGCAAACGTTTTGCTTATTAGCCACGTATGAAAATTCACAAAACACTGTTTATGAAATGTTTCTTTTACACCACAAGGTCACCAATTTTTGGTCATTGATAGTTTTCAATGCCGGTAAATAAAAAGTCAAAATGTATTCAATTTTAAACGTTAAAAAAATTTTTTTTTTGTTGTATATGAAATTAGTATTTTACAAAGGAAAGCAAATTTAGGGTGCGAGCGCAATAAGATAACGGACGAGAGGGCACCCGCCTTAGATAATAGGCTGAGCGGAGGCTCGCTAGCTTGAGATGCCGAATCAGTTGAAGCCAAGCGGCCGAAAAGGAGTCGGCTTGCGAACAACAGTGCGCACATCATGAATGAATTAAAGATAACAGTTGTTTGCTGCCTGACCGACACATAAATTATAGGTCTGCTTATAGGAAGCAGTATATAAAGTTTGTATACATTTCACATTTTACATTTTAAAAAGTGATTTCAACTCATTGTGTTTCTTGAACTTTTTAATATATCTCTTTAAAAAAAAAAAATAAAAAACAAGAGAAAATGGCTATAGTCGAGTTTCCCAACTATATTATACCCGGTACTCATCTCTTTCACTCTCAATTTAACTAACCTTTAAAATTTAAACTTTAACGGTATGGTTTCTCAGCAACAAATTTGTGTTGCATAATTTTGCGCTTAGGCAAAATAACTACAAGAAACCTACGGCTATACTACCGATTTAGTAGGTAACAGACTAAAAGTCTATATGGTAACACCTCTAAAAATTATCCAATTTGGCAGCTTTTTGATTTGTAGGTGTACATTATTCATTGGAACAGTATAGCAACAACAAATTTTCCAAAAACATTAACGAACTGGCGCTAACACCAGATTTCTGTTTTGGGGAGTGGGCGTGGCAAAATGTTGACACGAATTTGATCTTCGCAGATACCATACGAGTTCAAAATACAAATCGGATCTCTATCTCTTATAGCCTTCGAGATCCACGCGTTCAAAATTTTAGACAGTTTGAATGGGAAATTGTCGAAAAATCGATTGTTGTATGGGAAATTGAATATGTATGGGTATACATCAGAGGTTGGCACGGCCCTATCTCGGGGGCATAGGAAATTTCTCTGCCCGAGCTCTGCCACACACACACAGTATAAATGTGTAAAACGTCATGCTCACAGCCTACTTTCTGCTATTCGTTACTAACACTAATGCGGTAAAATCATATCAATGTATTGGTATACATACCACTGGTATACATATCACGACCACTGGTATACATATATAGAAATGCACTTCTTTTCCTTCTTCTCAAGCGATCGGTCGTGTTTTTTTGTGCGCACTGCGTTTAAGAGAAATTTTTCTGTAAACCGGTGTTTACTCACTTGAATTGTTAAATGGTTCTATTTTTTTAATATAAAAATGGAATTCAAACTTGTCTGCTTAATGAAGTCTTGTAATAAGACAATCTCCTCATCCCAGCCTACCGTCCATTACTGGCTATGTGAAAACGTTGTACAAGCTAAGTGTGCCGGGTTCACTGCCTAAGTTTCGGATGCCATTTCCAATAGGCCTGGTCTTCATTATTGTTGTAATAGTTTTCGCGCTGTCCAATTTAAGAATTGATCACTGGTTTTCGGAAAATCAGTGACGAACTCTACGCGGTTGACACTCAGTTTAGCGGCCTTCAGCTGCTAAAAAAAGTCCCCTAAGCGTAAAAAATCCGCTGTTAATCCGCCCCAGCTTGCTCAGCCGACCATGACGCAGCCGGTCATCGCTCTGGGCCCCCCAAGAGCTAGAACGAAGAACAAGATTCGCCGTCCGAATTTCGCAGTGCAAATGAGCAATTGTCCGATATGTCCTCCGTGGTATCCCTTCAAGTAATACCACAGGTTCTAGTGAATGAAACCCCCGTTAGAGTCACCCAACAGAGAAAACCACAGTCTGAACCACCGATACCGACTGATGCTTCAGTTTTAATATATTTTTTTCTTGGCTGCCCCCTGATACTTAAGAGATTAATATCTCGGCTTATTTCAAAGCCAAAACCAAAGCCGATATAAAGGTAAAAAACTTAACTAAATGTAAATATAAATATCTTCTTTCAAGATTCGTGTGCCCGCGCTGATGCCCACTGACCAAATTCTTCTTCGTCCACAAATTCAAAAACCAGGGACCGTAAATAATGATTATTGTTATTATTTTTATTTTAATCACAAAATAATAATTATTCTCTGATCAAAAAAGAAAAATCAGAAAATAATCATTATTCTCTGAGCGAAAAATTAAAAATCATGAATGATCATTATTTTTGATTTTTATTTTTTTTTCGCTCAAAAATATCACTCAGATCATGGTTTTGCGCTATGTGTTACTTTTTTTTTATATTTGACTGTTCTGGACAGCTCACGGAATAGAAATTTCCGGTCATCTTCGGAACGTAAAGAACATTTTTTAGTGTCAACATGCACTGGCCTGTCTGTATCTTGAGCCTATACCTTCTGCTTGAAGGAAACCAACCATCGGCCAGTCCGGTCTGTTCAGTGCGCTTCTGAAAGTTTGTGAATAGCTCTCTTGCGCAACACATAAAGGTTGTGCTTCTGTGTTGCAGTGAATGCCTTAGTGTCGACTCATTTTTCTACTATTCCTTTTTTTTCGCTCTCCTCCTTTAACTTTTTGGTGAGAACTTCGACCGAAGTCAACTGATCTAGTGCCTCCATAGCGACCACGAAATGTTCAAATTGCTCTGGAAGCCTTGATAGCAAAACGATAGTGCGAAGTTCATCGTTTAGCTCTATTCCAACTCCAGTTAGACCATTCAGAATTTCCACAAATTCACTTATGTGGGTCGTCATGCTCTGCCCTTGTTCCATCCGTTTATTAAGCAGTTTCCTGTATAACTGTACTTTTCATACAGGTTCGCTTGGTTGATAAACCTCATTCAACTTGGTCTTCAAATGCCTCCAAAGCCGTCAAGCAATTCTTGATATAGGCCAATTGAGATGTCTTTACTCTCAATGGTATTGTTGCCAACGCCTTACTGTCCAAGGCCGCAAACTGTTCTCCTTCTGGAACATTCGTTTCAGTTAGCTCTTCAGACGTAACAATCCACAAACCGGAATGCACCAATCCAGATCGCATCTGTATATTCCATGTATAACATAAATTTGATAAAGAGCTCTCATTGTTCTTAATCTCGAGTCACACACCAAATAACTTGAATTATCTAGTGTCTCGGCCCATAACCTATTAAACGGCAGAATACGAAGTGACAAAATCAGAGAATCGTGTGTATGCTTCGGAACTTTATTTGCGACTAAATTTGAAGTTGAAGAAGAAACAAAATTTGGTATACAAGTTAACTGAAGTTAACCAAGCAGCGGCAATGTCCGATTATTTAAGAGCTCCCTCTGGCCAAACTGCTGACATAGCGTCTGGCCGGAAGCCCATGCATAGCGGCAAGCACTGCACATTTGCGTGGCCGCTATGAAATACTTTTTGTTAGCTTTAAGTTTCAGTTTGTGTCAGAGTCTCATACAATAAAGAGCACCATAAAACCAATCTCCGGCACTGCCGTTAACTTGTAAATTCATTTGTTGAATTGGTCACCGCGCCTCAAGGGCCGTGACAACGGGACAAGTGCTCCCATCATAACTCCCGTTACAGAACGGATCTTCCCTCGGCAACCGCCAGGGATCTCAACCACTACCTACAAGGAGTAGCAACACCCCCCGGCAACCGCCAGGGGTAATTATCTTACAACATACCTCCGGCGCCTGCGGCATCACCGCACTTTTATTTACACAGTTTTTCTAAGTCTGCATGAATTTTTCTTTGTGTATTAAAAAATAAAAAAAAAAAAGAAAGAAAGAAAGACAAGAATAGTAAAATATTGTGCCTTACGCTAACAAAAAACTGCAGCCCCATAAAATTTTTAAAATGTAAATAATCTTTATTAGTTGGCTGACGGTTTAGCATTAACATTTTTTATCTATTATAAAATGTTTAAACCATTTTATTTTGTAAACCAATTGTTGTCCCAATATTGTTTGCATTTCTGTTTTTTGTAAATAAATAAATGAATATTTCTACATAACACAAAAAGTGCGGAATAAAAATTCCTAACCAAACCCAAAAAATCGCTGGCAGAAAATTTTAAATTTCAATCGGAAATAATTTATATAATCGCGTGTATTTAATTCAGCTTTTATATGTCTTTTTTGTTAAACAAGAATTCTTGGTATTAGCCGCGCAGTTTTGGTTACTTATTTTTCTTTTCCGCTTTGGTTCCCCACTCCATTTTCGAGAACACGATACGGCCGCACATACAGTGTGTGGCAATTTGTTGTTTTTATTTTTTTCTTTCTTTATAATAAGCGGCGGCTCAGCCCCCGCGACCCCCACACAAGCCCAAATGTCTCTATAGACATGCAAATCGAGCATGCATTATTTCTTTTGGGCGATATTATGGGTACAGCCCCACATGAGCAGCCCTTTTCACCTCTAAAGGAGTATAAGACAATTCTCCAGCGACTCTGAGTCCGAGAAGCCAATACTGAAAGCCAGCGTAGACAAAATGAGCTACGTCTAGCTATACAACAACTGACCGAACGGGTCGACAAAACACAAATCGCTCCCGCCCAAGCGGAAGCTCCCCAAATTAAAGTCTATAAACCTATAGAAATTAGGGACGACGTCAAATGTGACGAGCCCCTTGATGCCGTCAACTGTCTGCCCGAATTTACGGGAGCACAGGACGCATACGTCTCCTGGAGACAAGTGGCAGTAGCCGCATACTATATTTTCAGGAATTATGTAAATAGCTCGCGCCATTATCAGGCAGTTATTATTATTAGGAATAAAATAAGGGGCTCTGCCGATGCCGTACTGTCTTCGTTTGGTGCTGTACTAAATTTCGACGCGATTATAAATCGACTCGACTTTACGTACAGTGATAAGCGTCAGATTCACGTTATCGAGCAAGAAATGGGTACTCTCAGGCAGGTAAATCTAACCCTCCTGAAATACTACGACGAGGTCGAGAAAAAACTCACCGTGCTCACCAACAAAGCTACCATGTCGTACGAAGCCTCGGCGGCAAAAGTTTTGTGTGACAAATTCCGGGATGACGCACTCCGAGTATTTGTCTCGGGGCTTATGCGCAGCCTCACGGATGTCCTTTTCTCGGCAAAGCCGAAAGATATGCCTTCAGCTCTCGCTTTGGCACAAGAAGTGGAATCTAACCACGAGAGGTACTCCTTCGCGGCTTCATTTGCTAAAAGCCAGGAGGACAAAGACAAAAATCCGTACTGCGCCAAACAACGCAAGGCGCAGGTACACTCTGCACCATGCAGTGCAAATACCCATGAACCCATGGACATCGACCCATCGCGGTCCAAGTTTCTTAATCAATCTCAGGCCCCGTCATACCAAAACAGGGAGCCAACCGTGTCCGATCGATCGGGCCTACACAACAAGCAGAAGGTTAACCACGTCGCGAAGAGCGCAGGCGGAACCGGGGAGAAATATACAGCCGCAGCTTCAAGCACGGCTCAGGAAATTGACGACGACGTCATTCAAGATTATGATTCGGACGTCATTAATTTTTTAAGGGAATATCCCTGCTACACGTCGGCCAACGACAAGAGGCCAGCAGACGGGGTGGAATCGAATGACCCGCAATACGCGATACAGGATACGATTAAACACGCCCAGAATAAGTTCCGCGACAGGAGAAATGCTTCCCGGCAAAACTGGGTTTTCGAAGTTGGCGAAAAGATACTAGTGCAGTCTAGCAGGCGACTGAGCAACAAACTGTCACCTTTGTTCGAGAAAGAACCCGTAGAAGCGGACATGGGGACCACAGTCCTTATTAAGGGGAGGGTGGTCTATCTATGGTCAACTATCGCCCGCCTAATAATTTGTCATCTTTTTTTATTGTCTTTTTCCTAGCCACTTGGCATAAGCTTTTGCTTCCATTACTATTTTAATCATGCTTTAATGGTGGGCTACCCAGTTTCAATTGAATTCACAACACATCCAAATCACAGGTTTTCAACCATAACCCTGATTCTCCTTTTGGCCACAACTTCGGCACGCGTCACGGACTATTCCAAAGCCAAATACATTCCCATCGTTGATGGGCGAATCCTTATATGGGAGGAATTTGCCTTTGTAAAGCACTCAGCAAATCTCTCGGAATATAGGCGCGTCATCGAAGAAACTAATGGGATGACCGTCATGTTCCCGCAATCCCACATGCAGAAACTCCTAGTTGTTGACGTCGCCCACCTACGCGACATGCTCGACTCTTTGAGCATCCATCATAGGGTAGCAAGAAGTTTAGACTTCTTAGGGACTGCGCTATGGTAAAGGTGGTGGCAGGAACGCCAGATACAGAAGATTTTGAAAAAATTAAATTTAATGAATTCCAATTAATGAATGCAAACAATAGGCAGGTTAATATTAACAACAAAGTACAAATTCAAATCAATAAAATTTCCGCTACCGTCAACCAACTTCTGAGGTCAGCAAAAAAGTCCCAAATTGATACTGGGCACCTATTCGAGATGCTTTTAACTCGAAATAGGATGATAGCAATGGAGCTACAGGGTTTGATGCCAGCAGTGGCACTTGCCAAAGTTAATATTGTTAGCCCCAGCATCCTAGATCATGCAGACCTGGAAGGTGTGTGGATGGAAGAGCCCACCGAGACCGCGATTTGAGATGTTTTGTCCGTATCGTCCGTTAAGATCTTACAGTCCGATAACATATTACATTTTATTATTAAGTTTCCAAAGATAAAGTCGGCCTGCAGCAAGATCACCGTTTTCCCAGTGTCACATCACGACACCATGCTCAGGCTGGAAGATAACGTCATTGCCGAATGCGATAGTGAGATCCACACCGTGGAAAAGTGCTCCCCGACATCAGGAGCTACATTTTGCCGATTGGCTCGCAGGAAATCATGCGCCCAAGAACTTCACGCTGGAGGCACGGCGCATTGCGAGATCCAGCAAAGCGATTTACATCCCATCACTTATGTTGATGAAGGAATAGTAATTGTAAATGATCGCTCGGCTCACGTGTGTGTGTACAATGGCACCTGTGTCCATATTAAAGGCACATATCTCATCACGTTTGAAAAGAGTGCCATGGTCAACGAGACCCGATTGGTCAATCATGACACAGCCCAGAAGAGGGCCCCAGAAGTGGCCAGCTCACCTTCCCTGAACGTCACCATGGAACGTGACGTTCTCAGCCTTCCTTACCTTCACCGACTGAGTGAACGTAATATGGAGCACATCAAAGAGTTCGGGAAGGAGATTAACCACCATCGGCTACATCAGTTGGTGTTCATAGCGGGAGCAATATGCTGCGCTTTAATTGGCATCGGCTTGACCTATCGGCGAGTCACTCAGGCCCGAAAAACCGCGGCCCAGCTGAAGGAGATGATTGCCCAAATAGGGTCGGCCGAGGGCGGCCTCATTCTTGAAGGGGGAGTAGTTAACTGAAGTTAACCAAGCAGCGGCAATGTCCGATTATTTTAGAGCTCGCTCTGGCCAAACTGCTGACATAGCGTCTGGCCGGAAGCCCATGCATAGCGGCAAGCACTGCACATTTGCGTGGCCGTTATGAAATACTTTTTGTTAGCTTTAAGTTTCAGTTTGTGTCAGAGTCTCATACAATAAAGAGCACCATAAAACCAATCTCCGGCACTGCCGTTAACTTGTAAATTCATTTGTTGAATTGGTCACCGCGCCTCAAGGGCCGTGACAACGGGGCAAGTGCTCCTATCATAACTCCCGTCACAGAACGGATCTTCCCTCGGCAACCGCCAGGGATCTCAACCACTACCTACAAGGAGTAGCAACACCCCCGGCAACCGCCAGGGGTAATTATCTTACAACATACCTCCGGCGCCTGCGGCATCACCGCACTTTTATTTACACAGTTTTTCTAAGTCTGCATGAATTTTTCTTTGTGTATTAAAAAATAAAAAAAAAAAGAAAGAAAGAAAGACAAGAATAGTAAAATATTGTGCCTTACGCTAACAAAAAACTGCAGC